TCTCCCCCGGTTGCTGACTGCTTGGTCACGGGGCACAAGTGCCTCCCCTGAATCAAGAGGCACCAGTCGCCCATGAAGGCTAGTATGGGTGGATTTGGGAAGATCTCTTTAAAAATTGGGTCTCCTTCTATTATGGGTTGCAGTTGTTTGAGGATTTTCAATATAGGTTCGAGGGAGGGGTGATATGTCATAACCAGAGGTGTGAGATTCATGGGAGTTTTCCTTCTGCGCTGCAGCAATTCTTCACGTGGTATCCAGGTGGCTCTTTCAAATGTGCATCTATCTCTCTGGAGGAATGTCTTTGTTGTGTGAAAGCCTTTTAAAGATTTGTGAGGTAGCAATCTTGGGTATTCTCCTTGGTGCAGATTCGGTGGGATCTGAGGGCTTGCCTGTGTATCACAGGTTTCTTGGTGTGTTTAGGGTGATTGCTGGTTCTGTGCAGATATGTATGTTGGTCTGCGGATTTCTTGTACAACGTGGTCTGTATTTTACCATTCTGGATGCTGATTATTGTGTCTAAAAAGGAAATGCTGGTGCTGGATTACTTAAGAGATAGTCAGATGGAGGGGTGATGATTGCTGAATTTCTGATGGTACTCTGTCAGAGACTGCAGGTTTTCACTCCAAATGATGAAGATGTCATCAATGTATCTTAAGAATAGCAAGGGTTTGATGGTGCAGTCTTTGAGGAATTCTTCCAGGTGGCTCATAAAAAGGTTGGCATACTGTGGGGCCATTTTGGTGCCCATAGCTGTGCCCATGGGCTGGAGGAAGTGTTGGTTATTAAAAGTGAAATTGTTGTGTGAGAGGATGAAGCATATAATTTCAGTAATATCTTTGGGTTTGTACTCAGAGTTGTCATCTTGCTCTTGTAGGTACTTAAGGAAGGCTTTGATGCTGTCCTGGTGTGGGATGTTGGTATATAAGCCAGTAACATCAATGGTGACTAGGAGGGTGTTGCTAGGAAGGTGGTCTATGTATTTAAGTTTTTGTAGAAAGTCCATAGTGTCTTGAACAAAACTCACTCTTTCACTAAGAAGTAGTTTAAGGATTGATTCCACAAAATCCACTGACTCTCACCCTCTGATTCTCTCATCCACTGACTCCCTAATTAAAATTTTCACTCACTGGCTTGCATGCAGACCAGCCTCTGACTTCTTTACTATTCATTCCAGCCAGGAAGAGCATAGCCTGCTCAAGGGTTTTTAAACCTGAAAGCTTGCTAGAAAAATGGTTCCAACTATTTAGTTCATCTAATAAAAGATATTAGATTTACCCAAAGAACCTTGTCTGCCATGTGTATGTGTACATTTGGCAGGGGGTGGGGAGCAGGGAGAAGTGGCAGGCATGTGCCTCCCAGCCTGGCAGGGTCCACCCAGACTCCTCTGCCAGCACTAGGAAGGGAAGGGACCCCTCCCCCCATGAAGCCCAGCTCCCATGGGGGGTGGGGGCCTCCAATCTTTTGCTTGCCAATGGGCCCCAGTACACTTTAATCTGCCTCTGTGCTCGCCACCCCACCCACCTCTGATGCCTTCTTCACATTGGGAGGCCCCCAAAATTGCAGGCGGCCCCCAAAAATTGTGGGCCAGTCCTGGCTGGCTGTTATCTCCCACTCCCCCCCTATGTACACATACACATGGCCAGCAAGGGCCAATCTGAGGGGGGCACATACCCCCTCCCCAATGCCCCCCTATGTGTTGCCTATGATTTATATCCAGTTGCAAATTTCTCTTGATTTCATAGTTTCATACTTTCATAGCTGGTAGGGTTGGAAGGGACCTGAGAAGATCATCAAGTCTGACCCCCTGCCATGGCAGAAAAGAGTACTGGGGTCAAACGACCCCGGTGAAGTGCTCATCCAGCCTCCACTTAAAGACCCCCAGGGTAGGAGCCAGCACCACTTCTCTTGGAAGTTG